GTTGCTTTGCAGATTTCTCAACAAATGGGTCAAAGCAAACCATTTAAATAGGATACATATTGCCTCCAAAATCCCAAGAAGCTCACCAAAAGTTGAGCCTCATTCTTAGGGGTAGAGAGCTGAAGATGAAGGACTTTACCTTCACTATGCTAGATATTAAACTCCACTCTGAAATTTCCCTGGGATGGCAAGTCCCTGGACTTCCTCAGAATAGTCTCCCATCTTCTGTCACAGGACACCTGCCACTTTCCTGTTCTGCACATCCCTTCTGCACACTGTCATCACTGTAAGAATTCATATCATGTCCTATAGATGTTGATGGTCAAGATTGAGAGTTAGCCAAGTCCAGCCGGCAGCTTCCTTTTTTTTTTTTTTTTGAGACAGGGTCTCACTGCCACCCTTGGTAGAGTGCTGTGGTGTCATAGCTCGCAGCAACTTCACAGTCTTGGGCTTATGTGATTCTCTTGCCTCAGCCTCCAAGTAGCTACAGACACCCACCGTAAGATCCAGCTATTTTTTTAGAGATGAGGTCTCGCTCTGACTCAGGCTGGTCTTGAACTGGTGAGCTCACCCAGAATTCCCCTGCTGCAGCCTCCCAGAGTCCTAGGATTATAGACTTGAGCCACCACACCTGGCCAGCTTGCTTTCATAAGTTAAGTTTTATTAGAACACAACTAAATTTATCCTGTTACTTATTGTCTGTGGCTGCTTTTGTGCTACAGTGGCAAAGTTGATGGCAGGTAGGTTCCTCAAGTAGAACTAAATATGCTCTGGTTAAGAAGCGTACGGCATTTTCCTGTTCTGTGCTGCGGTGTCATCACTCACAGCAACCTCAAACCAAATGAGTAGCTGCAAACCAAATTCCAAGAGATAAATTAATTTGATTCAGCAAGAAGGCCATCTCTGGAAAATCAGCCAACTTGAAGTCACCATGTTGTTAACCATCCTCATCATTCTTCGTTGTAACTGAAGCCAGGATATCGAGTGGGAACATGATAACACTAAGTTTGTTTCTTCTTGGTCTTTGATAATGGTCCAGATTCCTGCAGTTTCACTGGGATTGCAGCCTTCTTTCATACTTCAGTTTTGTTCGGGAGGGAAAACACCAAAGTATCCTCTTGGTCCTTCTTATAGCAATTATTACTCCATAGGTCAGAGAGATAGTATGGAGATTTTAGAGTTGAGGCTAAATATAGCAATAATACTTTCAGGCACTGAGGTACCGTCACAGCATGAGCTTAGGGTACACTGGGCCTACCCTGGGATGAACTAGGGTCAGAAACCTATATATTATCTGCTCACAATAAATCTGCAGCCTGTGATGTTGGCGTGGCATGTCAGCAGGCTCTAGCCTTGCTCACAGCCAGTGTCCAATAGTCTCTGAAAGATCTGGAGATGTGGTGGTTCACGCTTCTAATCCTAGCACTCTTGGAGAGTGTGGTGGGTGGATTGCCTGAGCTCAGGAGTTTGAGACCAGCCTGAGCAAGAGCAAGACCTCATCTCTAAAAAAAATAGCCAGGCATTGTGGTGGAGACCTGCAGTCTCAGCTACTTAGGAGGCTGAGGCAGGAGGATCACTTGAGCCCAAGAGTTTGAGGTTGCTGTGAGCTATGATTATGTCATGTCACTCCATCCAGAGCAACAGAGTGAGATGCTATCTCTAAAAATAATAAATAAAAATAAATAAATATATAAATAAATAAAAGGTTTGAAGAGCACAGTTACTACAGGAGTGGCCACAGAAAAGGCCTGGAGGAAGGTTCACACTATCCCTATACAGAGGGTGCCAAAAAAATGTATACACATTTTAAGCAAGGAAAAGAACTATATTAAAATTGTTAATACTCAATATGTATGACTAACTTTTGTTATCTTGTATACTGTGACTTGTATCTCTTGTAAGTGCAGAAGGCAAATGTGACTTGAATTACAATTGTAGTACAGTTTTTCCCTTTCTTAAAATATGTATGCATTTTTGGGCACCTTCCATATATATATATATATTTTTTTTTTTTTTTGAGACAGAGTCTCATGTGGCCCTTAGTAGAGTGCCATAGCATCACAGCTCACAGCAACCTCAAACTCTTGGGCTTAAGTGATTCTCTTGTCTCAGCCTCCCAAGTAGCTGGGACTACAGGCGCCTGCACAATGCCCGGCTATTTGTTGTTGTTGTTGTTGCAGTTGTCATTGTTGTTTTAGTTGGCCTGGGCCAGGTTCAAACCCACCAGCCTCGGTGTATGTGGCCGGCACCCCACTCACTGAGCTAGATATTTTTTGAGACATGGTCTCACTGTGTTGTATAGGCTGCGTGAAGTGGCTATTCACATGATCATAGCACGCTATAGCCTCAAATTTCTGGCTCAAGCACTTCTTCCACTCCGGCCTCCAGAGTAGCTGGGACTACAGGTGCTCACCATGGTGCCCACAGGTATGCGGTCTGTATTTGAGACAGTGTGGCATCTTTTCTCAAGGAACCCTCCCTCTCCTTTCATAAGGAGCTGAGTGTGCCAACTGACTCCCATCTGTGACCATGACCATCTAGCATGGTGACTTGATTCAGGCCTCTGTGCTGCTAGATGTACAGTTGGGGAGTAGGATATGGTATCTCAGTGGTATGCTCACCGCTTCTACACCTGGGAACCCCAGGATGAACCACAGGCGGAGCTGCACATGAATGAGCCATTCCCTGAGATCTGTGATCACGTTCGGGCTGCTGCCTGAGAGCATAACCATGCCGGCTTTCTTCCTGGCAGAGAATTGCCACCACCTACGATGTCCACCCAGGACTCCGCTTCTCCCACAGGGATTAGAAACCACTTCAGTCCCAGAATCCTGAGCTGATTGGAAAGATTCTGGCCCCTATTAGAGACATAGTTAATAAATTGACTCAGCCATTTCTGTCTATTGAGTCCCTTCCCTTGTATTATGCCAAGAAATTTCTAGCCCTTTGTCATTTAGCAGATAGAAAATAAAAAAGCTGGAATCCAAAGCCCTGATATTGACCCTAAGAAGCTTAGTTTCATAGAAAGGCAAAAGTTAGATTATGTGACATGAATGAAGAAATAAGATGATATGGAATCAAGGCCCGTGTAGTATTTTGCGGTATTTGTTCAAACTCATTCATTCTTGCCTTGCACTTCTCATGCTGACGTGTGGGCTGAATATTTTCTTCTTCCCAATATCATCAAAGGTTACTCTGTCAGTTTGGATCTTAGAAAGAGAAGATGCATGGTACCCAAAGAGCCCTGCAAATTCAAAGCCAATATTCAGCCTTTAAGATCAAGAAATAGGCCGGCGCCTGTGGCTCAAGTGGCTAGGGCGCCAGCCACATACACCCAAGG